TGGGGAGGGGGGAGGTCACTTGGGCAGAAGAGCACAATTCACTGAACGGCCCTCGCTACACTCTATGCTGCGAGCCACACAACAGCTGATCAGTGTTAGCGCTAATTTGAAGCAGTCAGACCCTTAGGCCATGTGTAGACGAAATGATGGGCATGTGTGCGCAATACTTTAAAGTGGGCTAAATGCTTTTGCACTGCTTTAATGGTGTCAGTGTCTGCACGCCTTGGCGGCGTATTGCGCATTAATTCCAGCCACTGTAGGATATTCGGCGGCATAATGCACTTGAAATGACTTGGGGTGCAGCAAACTAAAACTCCTCGGAGGAGTTTTAGTTTGCTGCCCCTACAGCCACAGAGCGAAGCACCGGGCTTCGTGCAGCTCCACAGCTCCACAGGAAGCCCTGCAGGCAGCCTGGCTTCACCCAAGAAAAAACAGTGAGCCTCATCTTCCCCTCCTCCCCCCAAGCCTGCCAGCCTAAGCTGCATGGGGGCCTGGTCCTGGTGCTTCCTTCCATGGCTGTGGTGCGCCCCCCCGCCAGGACCATCCAAGCCTGGTGCCTGTAGGCAGGTACTGCCGGGCGGGGGGCACCGCTGCCACGGAGGGAAACATTAGCCCCCCCCAGCCCAGGGACTGCTCTGCCCATCAGCAGCTTGCCCTCCTCTTCCTACCACAGACGCAGATAAATCAGCAGGGTATGTGCATGACACAGGGGTTTAAAATCAACCCTAAATTGAAGCGGTGCTTTTATAAAACCCACCACTTCAATTTAGGGCCCCCATTTCATCTACATACACCCTACATCTAGAAACCTTCTCTGACTGTCCCCCACATGCACGGCTGTGACTTGCCACTAGAGGTCTGGTGAGTAGGAGCCATAGTTGTGAGTTGCCACTAGAGGACTGGTGAGAGACCCTGGGATACTGGAGGTTTTCCACTTGGGCAGCACATCTGTGGGGAGTGGCCACACCCTAGTGGAGTGGGAGCTAGGTAGTGCAGATCAGAGATGATCCTACTCTGGAGTGACATAACTTTGAGCCGAGTAAGTGCTTAAAATCTCTTTAAGGTGTTAATGTGTGGACAGTCCAGGGGCTTTAGAGCTGCAGGAACTGCCTAAAATTACTATATAACAAGGCCCAATAACAAACTCCTGTCTCTCAAGCAGTATTAATTTCAAGCTAGCAGAGGGCACCTATTTCTTCAGATCAAACTGAATTTTAAGATAATTACCATGATTGACCTAAGGACAACTAGGAGGAGGAGAACATAGCATTTGCCTGAAATTCATTACAGACCTAATCACAGAAGACGCTCAGCACTGTGACAGAGCCAGCAATCACGCTCGACTGAACACTCAAGTCATCTCAAGGTAGCCAGTGGTACCAACACAGACTTCAAGTTAACACATACTCAAGTGCTTTCATGCTCCAGGTCCCAAATGCTGGCACCTTGTTGTACTGAGCCCAATAGCACTAACATGATCAGATTAACCACAAAATATGAACAATGTTCAGAATGGCAATGATTGCCTATATCATCCGTTACAGCAAGGATAGCTTAAAATTCCTAAGAGCCCAATCTTGTGTTACTGATACGCGTGTTGCTATATTCTAGCCCTTACCCACTTGTTTGGATTCTTTCCACAACTTGATGCAAAATACTAAAATAGTAAGAAGGCGACATTAAAGGGGAAGTCAAATGAGAAATATTCTGAAGTTGAAACATAAGTCACCTACCTGCAGCAGTTAGCACTGCACTTTACATACAGACAGGCTTTTTTCAACCACACTTCCCATGTTTGAGTTAGGCTCCCTACCACACTTAGACCCCAGGCCTTCAGAACAATGGCACAGGTTCGCCCTTGCAGGGCTTCAAATTTAAGTTTTGATTTTTAATATAACTGCCAAATATATTGGGTGACATCCTGGCCTCAGTCAAGTCAGTGACACACTTTGTCATTGACTTCAGGGGGGTTGGAATTTTACCGTTTAAGTTTGAGATGGGAGGGAAATAGTTTTGTATTTAAAACAACTCGGCAAAACCACAAGAGCATATTACATCGCTGAAGAAATGGTTACAGAAAGAATGCAGTATTTATCTAATGGTAAATATAGTTTACCTAACGAGTGAAGAAGTACCTTTCATTCTCATTGTTGAGACATTGCTGAACTCTTGCATGCTGAAAATGGTTGATGGAAATGAACTCTATAATCAACAACATAAAGTGGCTGCTAGGACACACAAGCAAAGCAGCACATAATGCAGGGTCCAGTTAAACTGAGGTAGTAGATCCTTTTGAAAGCACAATCCACCCACCCACTGCATATTTACATTACTTACAGCAGATTGGTTCCACATCAGCTGGTCTTACACCAATTGTATATACAATGACAATGATAGATGAATGAATGAATGAAAGAGAAATGTCGAGAATGGGATGGACGGCATTTCTTGTTGGTAGTTACAAGTTGGTAGAAAAGGGATTAAGATAATTTCCATCATGGGGATATTTTGTCTAAAAATAATTTTGATATTACTACACAATGGTGTAGTCAGTATCCGCATCTGTAGAATTACTTTAAAAAATATAGCAATTAGCTACCTGAGCAATTAAGGGTAATAGTGGATTTTTTTTCCTCCAATGCTTTGGTACAATTATTTCTAGCTTATTTCACCCGCTGCCCAACTGCTGTATAAACAATAGGATGTTGCAAGAATATTATATACTGTAAAAAAGTAGAGAGAGGTAATACTCATGCCATTTTGGGCACACCACCAGGAAATTTCAATCAGCTTTCTCTCTAAACTTTTTTGGTTGCAGTGGTGGTTTTAAATTGAATTCTTTCCGTTTTTCATAAGTCTTGAAACAAGAGCATCACTTAGTATAAAGAGACATCTAAACATTATAAACATTCAATACCAGTTACAATGTCAAGCCAAGAAAAGGAAACAGGATGATGTTTGCTAGGTTGCTTGTTGGCTCCCTCCCCCTCCCCTAGGAACCATTACAAATGAATTTCAGAGCCCAGTATCAGTAATAAGCTGTTTACAAAAATTGCTTTTCCTCTGAGAAATATCCAGAATTTCACTGCGTAATGAAAAAAGTAGAAGTTGTTTACAAATCATTGTGGCCTGAAAACCAACACTTTTAATACATTCCTGGAAGAGAAGACAAATCTCAAGGCAGCTACTTCCTTCTCCTGTTAAGTCTGCTACCAGCGATAGCATTGTAAATCATTACAAAGCAGCTCTTCCTTGCGTTACCCACTTTTAGCCACATGTAATTAGCCATCCTTGAGAAATTTCCCAAACTATATTCAGTTCTTCAGCTTTCTCCATGATCTTGGGTTTTCTTCATTACTCAGAATCTCAGGCTTTTCAACTTGTCTTTTTTCTTTGAATTTTTTTTTTTTTTTTAATGAATGGCCAAAGTGGGAGAATGAAAAAAAAATAGAAGTAGTCTCCAAGTGTGTGCATAATGTGCAGTCAGTTATGGAGACCCAGTCCACTCAGCAAGCTGTTCATTTCAGTTGCCTCAAGCAAAAAGGAGTTGGAACAAGTATGTTTCATGTTCTTTGCCTTCCATTTTGTTTCCAGGAAAAAAAAAAGTGAATGTCCATGCCCTTTGGCATTTTAAAGTAGTATCTGGGCAACATATGGAGAGTGAGTGCTTGCTACAGCTGCCAGTAAAGGGAGGTCACTGGATTCAATCCTAAGAGGAAGAGGAAAAACACTGTAAAATGTGACCCCCAAACTAGGTGTCCTGTCCATACGTTTTGGCTGCCATGTAAACCATCCCAAATGCAAACATCAGCACTTGGGTAGTCAAGCCCAACAGCTGTACCTTTCATTTATAAAGCTCTGCACAGCCAGACTTTCTTCACGTAATGTTAAAGCAAAGGATTTACATTCCTGTCATTAAGACATCACCACTCATTACAAACCCACATAATCAGCTTGTTTTTAAACATCAACACTTGCTCCAGATCTGCCTGGTGACACTTACAGATCTGTATAGTGAAGCGAGAGGCCGGGGTTCAATTCATGCTTGTTCTCAGTCTCATCAGGCTGACAGGGTTGGTGAGATGACAGAGGGGAGCAGGGGGCAGGCTGGCATTGGACTTGCTTTCTGTACAAAGCCTGAGTAAAGGAGCTTTAGGTGGGGAACAAGTCACAAGATGGGGACAAAAGGAAATGGAAGTACTTTGCCCCTGAGCTGGGGAATGAATGAGAGCCCTAGGCTGTAGCTTCTCTCTTTGCAGCAGCTGCATCAGTCTACAGTTCCACATGCACAAGCCCAGATCTACATGCCCCAGCCCTCACCCAACAACCCTCTTGAGGTATTTATAGGAAGCCAGTCTCCATGCCAGCTCTGAACACCTCCTACAAAGCTTCTTTCCTTGTGCCCCACCCCCCTGATGGCTTATGTGATACAGAGGGTCTTTTCTGGGCTCTGCCACGTGGGAAATGTCAATCTGGAGGAATCATATATCATTCAGCAAGGACTGGCCAGCTAATGAGTGGTTCTGCCACAGGGGGGTAGAACAGGATGGGGATCCTTAGTATCTGGGCAAGGATACGGAAAGGAACCTGGAATTGGGAAATTTATGCCAAACTAAGAGCCATCCTACACATTCAACTTAAAGCTGGACAGAAACCAGCTACTGAGTTATTACACATTTTCAAGGACTAACTTTATAGCTGGATAGTTATTTTTATCTTGTGATAATTACTTTGCATGTGTGGCTGGTCTAAAAGTATTGCACTATTGGCCAGTTAATTGTGTAAGATATGTAATGTGTAGCAGGGGCCTGAGGTCCTGCTCCTGCATCAGGAACCACCAGTACATACTGCCATACCTATGACTAGTGGCCTAGGAGGTGTGGGAAGGACACATCAGGGGACATGGGTGGAAACCACACACACAGATCTGTGATCCTACCCCAGCACCACGCCCAACTCCTTGACATGAACTCGCATCTGGCCCTTGAGATATTCAGACAGCATCTTGCTTTTGAAATACAGTTCCTGTAGCCGATCTTCCAGGTGCATGACGCACTAGAAACAAATGAAAAAGGCCATGTCAGAAAGCAAACTCCTTACAGTACCTTAACCCTTCCAGACCCCAAAGAGAAACAGCCCAGGCCCCATAATCAGACTGCCTTGTTGTCGGTCACATCATGGAAAATAATTTTTTGAACTTCAGAAACTACTGGGAAATGCACAGTTAAAATGAAACAAGTCTCTATTTAAATTCTTGCTCCGAAAATAAATTGCTGAAGTGTTTTCTGCACTAGCAAGACTTCCCACCTATTTCAGTGGACATTTTGCACCCAGGCTGAATCAGGATGACAGTCGGCTCTTGGGAACTTGGAATGAAGTTTAAAGGGGCCCTACTGGCTGTCAGTTGCACAGTGTGACAGATTGTGCCAACCGGGCAGTATGGCAGTAACTTAAACTAACATAACAAATATGTTCCTTAAAGCAGATTCTCACAGCATGTCAGCTCTTGCGAGCATTGCTCATACTTACAAAATTTGGAGATAAGTTATGCTTGTAAAGCTGAAGAGTGGAATGAAGCAGATTGGAGACAAGGCTGGAGACTAACACCTCTTTTCCCAGTTTATTGTCAATCATTCGCCTCTGGCTACTGGCCACTTGTACTGTCCACTTGTCCATGTCTGCAATAATGCAGACAGCCTCTGCGATCGGTTCATCCAAGACAGGATGCTATGAATTAAAAAAAAAAGGAAGTGAATAGTTTAAGTACAAGAAGAACAAAAGGCAGGTCAGTGCACACAAAACAAATCTCCTCGACAGCAAAGGGGGCCCTTTTTTTTTTTTTTTTTTTTTTTTTTTTAAAAAGCCTTAAAGCAATTCCTTATCATGAAAAAGTTAAGAGTCTTCACCTCCCGGGCTTGAAATGATTGTCTAAAAAGTGTGTCTTTTAACATTTGATTTTGTTGTTTCTTGTTGGAATGAAGCTGCAGTTAAAATGGACACAGGTTAAAATCAGAAAAGGAAAACCCCAACAACTACCTATCTTGATCAGATTATTCACGACGTAGAAACTCAGATTATTAAAACTGAAAAGTCTCAAAAAATCTAATCTGCTGTTCCGCACATGTGCTGCCTTGTTTATTTCGCGCAGTCGGGACAATTCAAACAGTCGAGTCAGTTGCATTTTTGGTTGTAATCAGTTTTCCTTCCATATCAGCAGGAGTTTGTTAACTACCCCTGCAGAACCGCCAGAGGGAGCAAAATGACAAAGCCAACCTTCACTTTTCTCACGCTTTTGGAAGATCTCTTTGCAATGGATACAAACACCTCTGTGGGCCATTTCCTTTCAATTTTTGCCCATAACTGCCTACAAACTCCCCTCTCTCAGCAGTACTAAGGTGCTGCTCTGCTATGCATGGGTTTTATTTTGAATGCCAGCATGTAAAATCTTGCATATATTTTATTTATTTTTTTTTAAATTCTGGCAGCATTTGCTGGTAAAAATGAAGCTGCAGCATTTGAAGAATGTGCCTCTTTCCTTGGCAGTTCATAGAGAAGAAGTATTGGTTTCATGCCAGAAGTCACCCTGAGATATTGCCCCTGTTGCTCAAGACTTGGGTGGATTTTGCCCATTTTGAATAAATCACAGCCATGTGCCCAGGGGCACCAGTGGGTAAATCACTGGAAAGGGCTATGTGCAGCGAAGGGGAGGCAAACAAAGGAAAAGGGCCACGCAAATGAACTGCTGCATCCAATGAGCGTACAGGGATGCTGACTAGCATGGAAGGCAGCTGCGTTGGGAAAAGAAAAATAAATTTCAGAGGACCCATGTGCATACCCTGAGAGACATGCTCCCAACAAGTTAGTTTTTATTTCTACTTATGTCTGACCATGGTCCTAGTGTGACTGTAAACTGCATCTGACTGGAGGATCTGGTGGCAATGTGGTGGGGCTACTCGTGGTGGAGTAGCTCCTATAAAATACCACAATGTTACAACCTCCAAAATACGGTGAGTATAGGGCCTTATTTAGGCAGTACTGGTAGTGCCTAAATAATGACAGGCAATCAGGACTCATAGTAGAGATGATATCTTATTAGACCAACAAGATAATAAAGATGATATTTTTATTAACAAGATATTTATCAACAAGATGCTATCTAATAAAAGATATCATTTCTACTACAAGTCCTGATTGCCTTTTCCTCTAAACCAATATGGCTACAACCTGGATACCTAAATAATTACAGAGCACAAAATTAATACTGTGCAGCTCGTAGATGTACAGAGCTGTATCCTGTGCAAAGATTCCTACCTGGGAAGGATAAAGTGCATCATCTAGCCAAAAACCTTAGCCCCCACTGCCTTGTGGGTACTCCTTGGCTGGAGAAAGCCTAAGGGACATCATCCTGACAGAAATGTGTCCTCACTGAGGCATTAGGGAGGCAGCAGTAGTTCTTATCTGTTGCTCTCTGGCAGAAGCTGCAACCATGAAGGCACCGAATGTCGGGACTTTGCCTGGCCTTTGGATCCTGTCTTAATGGTCTAAAGGGCGGGATGGGAGGTCTTGGGCAGCCTCCACTCTTCCATACTCTTGCCTAGGCATACATATTCATGGACGATCTTGGGTGACTAGAGCTCTTGCATGTACACCATGATCCAGAGGATCTACAGTTACCTACTAAGTCTGACCTCACTCCTGTAGGAACAAGATTTTCGCTTGCAGGGGAACAGAATCATGTTTCTGCTTCCGTAATTTCTGTCAACTCTTCCCTTAATTTCCACAGAGCCAGAGGGGTAGGGAAGGATGTTCTTCCCACCCCATCCACTGTCCAGTTCCCTAGGACAGATAATGCCTGGAGCAGACCTCATCCAGGAAGGTACAGTTCTACCAAAACCCATTTCTACATGAAAGCGGTCAGGGTGGGGGGTGAGAGAGCAGAGACCCACTACCCACGTGCTCTAGGGCACAACTTAGTCCATCATTAGGTTAGCCTCTTCCCCACAAAGCCAAGCCAAGCATCTTAGTTTCTTTGAAAACAAAACAACAACATTAATAGATCTCAATCTTTCTGAGGGCTGAATATTCACTTCAGCAAGAGAACAAGTTCTGTTCCACAGACTATTCAGGACAGGAGAGTTTGTTAGGGAGACATTCATGGGAAAGAGCATGTGGCAGTCTAGAATGATCATAGCAGTTCACAGCTCAGGATCCCAATAACCAACCGGCTGCTCCATCAAGAAGAGGAGCTAGTTTAACATGGACATTTCTCTTGGCCTCCTCCCATTGCCTTCAACCGGGTCTTGAGTTTCAGTGGCAACCTGGAGCAGATTTCCCAGGTGTATTAACTGAGAGATGAGAGGAGGGAACAGACCCTGGCGCAATGGGACTGTGGAAATTAGGACACAGATATAACAAAAAGTACTTCCAGTTCCAACAGGCTCGCTGTTTCAGAAATAGTTGCTTTTCTTTATTGTGAAAAATACGTTTATTGGATATAGTTTAATTACCTGAACAGCATGCGACAAATCTGACACCAAACAGTGTCTCAGTTTTTCATCAGTTCCTACTCCTTGCAAAACAAAGTCAGGTACGTAAGATGAACAGTAGCCACCTAGCAAGGACCTTCCAAAATTGGCAATACTGGGCTGGACAGAGTTCACTTCAACTAATTTTGACCTGAAAGAAAGGTATATCATGGACATGTACTGTAACTGAAACCAATTTCTGCTCATTTCAGTTTAAGCAAGTGTAACAGGTTAGTGTCAATCATTTCTTCTTTAAACTTCTGTTCAAGCACATTTTTAAAAAGAAGCTTCATTTCAAAAAGGCAGTTGGAATGGTGTAGCCTTTTGCATGAAACACCAGAACAGAAAATATATGAGCCAGTGTTATGATGCATCATTAATGAGGTTTTAATTTTTTTCTAGCTCACCAATTTCTCTACATTCATTTTACAGTTACCAAACTAAAGAGAATCTTTCCAACCACTGATGCCATATTGGGCTGCAGAGGAGAAATGCATTGGTCTAGGTGTCTGCTACTGCTGAAATACTTACCCAGGAAAAGAGATCTCTTCTTCCTCTGCCCAATCTTCTTGCTCTCCCCCATAATAGTTGCTGCTTGGTCTAGTTAGATCGTGACCCGCATCTTCACTTTCACTATCGCCAAGGGCACTATCTGAGCTCTCATTTCTTGGAATGTCCCAGTCAATTGCTGGGGCAACTTTTTTCTCTACATTTTCTCTATCCCCATGGGGGACACTAATAGCAACTTTGTCTTTTTGGTCCTGCTCAGCAAAGCAGTTTTTGCATGTCTCTTGGCGAACAGATTCCATGAACTTACAAAATTCACTGGGTTGTTTGCTGTTCTGTGTACACAGTTTTTTAGAAAATGTTAAACTACTGCTTTGATCCAGAATGTCTGTAGCTGCTCGCACTGGAATATCATCAATAGTTTGGGTTTCAATCGAACCATCATCAGTAAAATACTCATCAAAAAGACTCGAGCTCTCAGTACTGTAAGGATTTGGATTCCAAGCCTGATGCTTGCTGGCAACTTGAGGGAACGGTTCAGATGTCCTGCAGTCTCTGGTTTGGTCCTCGATGGTTTGCTTCGCTTCACAGTTCTGATCAGCAGCCGCTCCTTCCTTCGCTGCTGGCTGGTTGTGATGCCTAGTAATTTGTTCCGCTACTGCTTGACTTCTCTGTTCGATGTCCGAGTCAGGTGACATAGAAGAATCACCAATCAGAAAAGTCACTTTTGTCTGAGCCTCAGCTGAATTGCAAGGGAATGCGTCAGACAAGGGCTTATCGGGAGGCTTCTTTTCCACAACTATACCTGTGGATCTTGTTACACTGAGGGCTTGGGTACCGGATTCCAGTGACTCCTCAGTCCTCCAGATGTCTGCGGTTGGCTCTAATCCAGACTCTGCCAGTGGACATTTGTCCACTGCAGCTGACCCCGTGCAGACTACTGTCTCTACCTTGGTGTCCAGACAGGATCTCAAATTATCTTTGCAATGCTTAACATCAGTAGGGTCTTCTTGGCAGTCAGCAGCTGCGGTTGTTCTGCTTTCCTCTAAAGAAGTTTCCAGCTCTACCTTAGAGGCATTTTGTGCATCTTCTCTCTCTCGCTGTGAAGCAGCTTCTATGTTTGGCCCAAGGGGAAGTGGGCCCTTGCAGTATTTACAACTACAGTTAGAAGTTCTCAATTCCTCAGATTCCCAAGATAACAAGTTGCCTCTATTTCTGTGCATTGTGACAAGCACATACTCCGATTCCTCCACTTCTCCTTTCTCCAACGTCGTAGTAATAACAGTTCCAGGCATCACTATGGCTTCATCTTCTCCATTTTCTAGAAGATGCGTCTCTTGGAGCTCAGAGCATCTTATGAAGTAAGTCAGGAAATAAAGCAACCTCTGCACCAGATCTTGTCTTCTGCCAACTACAACAGTCTTTGCTAGTCTCACAGGTGATCCGATAGCCCCATACAAGTCTCCTACAAAAGCAAAAAACCCAACTTTAATACAGGGAATTTAATGGTGCTGTTTGTCTCAGTAATGAGAACACAGTCTGAAAAACTGAGGCCCAAGGGGATGAATTCAGGGCAGAATAAAGTATTTCCATTCTAAGCAGTATTTTTAGGGGAACCCTTACAGTGACAATACAGCTTTACCAGCAACAGTAGTAGCTGCCACTGAAATTACAATGCAATCTCTGCATCAGGAAACCATTACATAAGGGATGGATAATAGGTTACGCAGCCTCCACCAGCAAAACTGACCCAACTACTAAAAGTTTTGGCTTGGAGAAGCTTAGAAGTCTGTGGATAATGGTTTGATGAGGCTCACTTCAACAGGCAACAGCCAAGATCACACTCGTAGTCTCAGCAGTGAAGCCAAAAATTCAGTAGCCCTAAAAACCAAAGCTAAACTTGTATCTCTGGAGGAAAATCTTCCCCATCAGGCTTTGCAGGCAATGGCAAGACAATACAGGGAAACAAGAGCTGCCAGTGCTGGTGCTGTACTTGTTCTGCAAATGCAGAGGACTTTGGACTAGATCGAGTACCTTCCAGTAGCACTGATTTCATCTGTGTATGCTCACAGTGCAGCTCTGCTCCCTGATGTCCCTCGTTTTGAAAGAGAGAATCTAGCAGAACCCACAGCCAGGAATAAGCTGTTATCTTTGCAGTCACTTCGAAGGCTAAAGTGTCTCAGACAGCTCCGGCTTCTGCCTTTCATAGAACCAACAACACCCCCCCCACCTCCATCCCTCAGGTAGAACATCAAATACAGGGAGTGTGGATCCAGCTGCAGAAGCCCTTGGATCAGCAGCTCCTGCTGAGGGGAAAAGACTGTTGCTGATACTACCTTCCAAGGAGAGAGGGGGATACTGCACACAAACACCCCCCACCCCGCCTGCAGAGAAGCAAGCAGAGGGGAAAGTGGATCTGTGCCAAGAACCAGAAAGTGATAATGTGGGATGCAAAACTACAAAGCTTATTCTTTTCCTTCCTACCCAGCTCTGTCATCTTTGGAGGACAATGGATAATGGAGTTCTGACTTATCTGGGCAGGACTTGAGAGGGGTTCTGTTTTGGATGTATTGAGCAGCACGGGAAACCCACAGGGAGCTATAAGGAGGACTTCATGGTACCAGCTCTGGCTTCCAGCTGATTTCTTGAGTTCCATGAGTTTTTTTGCCCCTATTGACAAACGACCTGCCTGTGCCAAGGTGGGGGAACCTCACAGAGTATTCAGGAGGCCTGTGCGAAAAGGCCAGTATTCGCTTTGGATTCAGCCAATTTGGGGGACAGCGATTCGATTTGGTGATTCAAATCACTGCCCAGAATAGATTCAGCTGAATCTCCGAATCAGCCAGGCCCATCCCCCACATCCCGGCAATGGCTGGCCACCCACCCCAGCTCCGGCTCTTTGGGGAAAAAAAAAAAGCCTCGAATCATCAGGTAGTGCTGGGCAGGGGAGTGATCCCCACTGCCCCCACTGTATGGGGGGGCTCTGCTGAGGCTGGTGCAGCAGCAGCAAGTCCGGGGGCTTTTCTCTGTTTGTTTTTCTTAAAGGGGCAGCACCCGGTGAGCACCAGAGCTTTTCTTTAAAGCACTGGGAGCTGGGGCGGGGGGGAAATCGGGAGGCTGGCAGGGGTCCCACCCCCATGGTCCTCCCTCCCCTCCCCTAACCAGCTGGAAGTTAGCTGCAGTTCCCTGCTGCAGCCACCAGGGATTGCCCAAATCAAAGCTCTCTGAATCTTTTTCAATGATTCAGAGAGCTTTGAACAGAGTCGGACCTTTTAATTGGTCCCTTGATTAGATTCTGATTCGGAGAGTCGGCCACCAAATCAGGCTGAATCTCCTCCGAATCGAATCACCACCTGAAACTTCACACAGCCCTAGTATTCAGTGCTTGCCATCTGACCATGCTCATGTCCTTTCCCTTGTGGGATGGCCACTAGGTGGCAATAAAACCATCTACAAATTCAACGGGAGTCTTTCTTTGCTTCTAATGGGTTTTGGAATGCTAGAACATTATTGTCTGCAGGTTCTGACCATTCAGTATTCACTTTTCCTTGCCGCTCCTCATCTCATTTTCTCTGTTTCTTATTAACATTAAATTGACATAAGAGACAAAGTAATTTTCTTATTCCCCAAACCAGACTTGTCAATGGGAGCAATCCAATGCGTAGAATATGGAGTTTCTCTCTAGAGACCCATGGAAGGAAACCAGAATCCCTCATCACTGCCATGTTATTGGCCACTGTAAGATCTGCCCTGCGTAAATAATAAATGACTCCACACTTTCTGCAGCTGTTTTATTACTGGTAGTACCTAAATAATTACAGAGCACATAATTAATACTGTGCAGCTCGTAGATGTATAGAGCTGAACTTTGTGCAACGATTCCTACCTGGGAAGGATAAACAGCATCATCTAGGTCAAAAACCTCAACCCTACCCTTTCCCCGCAATCACTGCTTTACATACACGTATGTAGTACTGTAACAGATCGTGATGGAAGGTTTCAGACATACCTAACTGTGCCCACAGTGGGTTGTATGGATGAGTCTTAGCCAACATGTCCACACTCTGGGAGGAATGCTTTTCCAGAAAGATTTTTATAGGTGGCTGCCCATTTGGCATAACTGTGGGGACCCAGGCCAGGTGATTAGTGAGAATGGCAGTCAGCAGAGCTGGTAAGAATCTGAAAATGAAAATGCTCAAGGTCACTTTTTGCAGCCGAACATTCACAGCATTTCAGCAACAGCAATTCTACAGTCTCTACAGGGCAGGGATAATAGCTTCTGGAGATGTAGAGACCGTAAAGATCTCCAGATCCCCTTGGCTCTTTCTGCATCAGGCTAGAAGAGAACCGTGTAGAAATGTATTGAGCCCAGAAGAGAGAAATTTATTTTAAAGGTTATCAGAATTGAATTGTCAAACATTTTTATCTTACGCATATCTAAGTTCTTCAGTTTAGCTAACATTATGAGCCTTCTATTTAATAGCTTATTATAAGCACAGATTGCTAAAGCTCTGCATTAAAACCAAAAGAGATGCTGAATATATTTAATGTTGATACACAAAATACAATGTTACCAACAGAAAATCTTAAAAATATCAAGGAACTTGCATTTAAAGATGAAGACTGGGTTTTAATTGCATTGACTTTCCATTTTAGTAAAACTTCTGCTGTCCAGTAGTTTTTTTTCCCCCACTTAGGAACATCTTCTCAAGCTACCAGTTACTGGGCTTACTAGATATATAATCTAGAAAAATGTTCAATAACTTGTATTACGTAGGTCAGACTACATGAACCAACAGTCACTTTTAAACTTTTGGCTTTAATACGCAATGCCATGAATAAGAACAGCTCAGGAAATAGGGCCCATAGCATGGGAATGACAGTATACAACTCTGCATGCTATAAAAAAGAAACCCTGCTCTTTACCATATTGTTCATTTGTATAAAAACAAGCCAGCACAGATCCCAAGTTTTAGATCTGGGGCACATTTGCTCACTGTACATTTTTTTTAACTGTACAATAAGTGGATATCATATACTTGCATGAGAAAGGTGAGAGCAAAAGTGTGGGTTGGAGACCAGTACAAATGGGACTGGATTAGGGAAGTTATGAACAACAGAACTGTAGTGTTTTCCAGAAGGGTTAATTTAACGCCTGTTTAAATAGTTTTGCAGATCCTAAAAGACAAAGACTGAAATGTAGTGTCCATCCCCCCACCCTCCCTTTTTTTCCTTTGATCAATGACTGGAGACCACATGGGGGGGTGAAGGAAAATGACTAGAGATTCGAAATGAAGGTGGAAAAAAATGCAGGTGCTGCGCTCGATTCTCCTTTCACTTGCATCAATGTAAATTAGGAGCATTTCCACTAAGGTTGAAAGAGTTGCACCATTATGAAAAAGGAATAAGAGTTGAGAATCAGGCTGAGAGTTAAGTTCTGTTAAAACACTCATTGGGATATTTAAGGGATGACAGAGCGCTGCTCCGTTTAAAAATAAAAAGAGCAAAAACCCAACCAAACCCACAAGCAAAACACTTTAAAATGAATCTAAGCAGCACAAGTCTCAGACTGACAGAAGGCTGAAGCGGTTAATCCTGGCCAAATGCTTCCGCCTCTGTTGAAACTTATTTTAGGAAAAACATTTTAACTCCCTCTACAAATCACTAAGGCTTTTCACATTCTGCTGAAGTCTGCTTGGCATTCACACAGCTACAAGAGATCCCTTGCTTAAAGAATGCATGCCATGCTGCACGCTAATTATGACCTTCCTGTTAGGGAGAGAGATGGATCACAAAATTACCATCAGGTGTTAGAAGTACAGGATTTTGAGGAACAGCAGAATCACATTCCCCCTGGATGTTGCCCAAGCTACACTGCCCAGTTGCTGGACCTTCTCCAATCTAAAGTCAGATTTTTTTGAGTTAACTGCTGATTTTGTTGTTTTATTCTCACTTAAACTTCACATGCTTGTGTCAGGATTTTGATGCACACACTTTCAGACCTCCCATATTCCTACTTTGTGAAAAAAGACTCACGAGATAATGAAACAGTAAAATTAGATTCCACTGCTGAGTTAACTAAGAAGCTTCTTCTTCGAAATTTTTTACAGCTGCTTAGGTCTGACCCTTTGGGGCAAATGGCAGGTTCTAATACAGCAAACACTTATTCATTCTCCATAAAGCTGTGGCTTTTTGTGGAAGTCAGGCTCAGTACCAATTTGCAAGTCAGGCACTGTCACACATGGCTCCTACTGTACTCCTTTCTGACCTCATTCATTAAAACTTTTCTTATTCACTGTTTTTGAAAGGCCAGGCTAATGCCTTACATAAGGTATGTTCTCTCTCTCTCTCTCTCTCTCTCTCTCTAATGCCTTACATAAGGTATGTTCTCTCTCTCTCTCTCTCTCTCTCTCTCTCTCTCTTTTAATAGACATCTTTGGAAGGCCTGCTCTTTATGTGAGACTTTATGAGATTGTGGGTGAAGGCAGCATTTAATAAAAGGTTTTTGTTGCTCTCTTGCCTTTAAACTTAGAACAGCTGTGGACTTGTAGCTCCCTCTAGCTTTTTTCAATCATAAAACAGTGATTTTAATACTTGATGAGAAAATGTATTTACAAAATTTATATCAATTAATAGATGTCGAGAAACACCCTACTGGTTTTTAGAGGCATTCTCCATTAAGAAAGTGAACTCCTTCATGAAACGATGGCAAAGCTGGTTCTTTTCTGGTGTCCCAGACATCATGGTCAGCCAGACAGGTTCCCCAATCCGTGGCATGGTATAGAGATTGCAAATAGTTGTTCTAAAAAGAAAATTAGAGGAGGAAAGGTCATACTGGTAAAGACTTTACTGCAATATTAGGTCCTGTTCCCATTTACATCAAAGGCAAATTTTGGCTTTTAACTGTTACCCAAAGTCCACTATAAGAACAAGAATCTTTCACTAAATATAGTTAATTCACCTTGCTTCCTTTATGAGTTAAATATCTCAAGCATTTAACTAAGTTGATCTCAAATACAACCATGCTATTGTAAGGCTAAGTACAGAGGTTCAACAAGCTGGAGGCAAAATCAATTTAATCTTCACAGGTTTTTCTAAGCTGCATAGACTGAACTGATAAACTGAATGGATGGCACCTGGGGGGGGGGGGGGGCCGGGGGGGGGGGAAGGGGG